AAATACCCGAAAGTTTTGGGTCGGTTCGGGTATCTTCAGAACCGAACCGAACCGACCCATGGACAGCCCTAGTTATTATACATTCATACTTCATAGTTCATTCTTCATACTTGTTACTACCTTACTACAATTACAATTATTCAATTGCAAAAATCATCATCATCTTGATTATATTTCTTTCTTCTCAATTCTCACTAGTCACTACTAAACTTTTTAATCCTACTATATTATGGATTCTCCCAATTCTTCTTCTCAAAATCCTATTTTCATCCTCGACCCGGCGAACCGTGACCCGTATGGGCTCAACCCGGATGGGTCAGCGGGCGGGCTTGGGTTGTAATCCAAAATTTGTAGGCCGACCCGAAACCGGCCCGGAACCCGTAGCGGGCGGGTTTTTTTTAACGCGGGCCGTTACCGGGCTAATATGTTGACGTGCCGACCCGGCCCAGCCCAGCCCAGCCCACCCGGATTGACATCTTTAATGCCTAGCAATTCTGATAAAGAAGACTCCAGCACAATTACCAAAACCTTGGGTGAAAGGTATCTCAATTTTTCAGATCCTTTCAATCCCTTTTATATAGACAATGGTGATAATCCAGCAGCTGCTTTGGTCTCGGACCTTTTAACCGCTAATAACTACGTTTGTTGGTCTCGCTCTGTTAGTTGTGCCCTTCGTGCCAAGAACAAGCTTGGTTTTATCAATGGCACTTTACCAAAACCAACATATGCTGCAGATCCCCTACTTGAAGCTTGGGAACGATGCAACGATCTCGTAGTCTCTTAGCTTCAAAATTCTGTGAGTGCATTTGTTAAATCCAGCCTTGCTCTGGTAGATGATTCAACAGAAGTGTCAGTTTTCTCACTAATCATTGTGATATTCAGGACATGTGCAGCTTGAGGATGATTGGCAGGGCTAGAAGAGTTGGAGGTCTCTATGTTGTTGATTCTATATCTGATGAATTCAATAATAAGTGTAATACTTCTAATGATGTCTGTAAACATGTTTTTTCGATTTTGAACAATGTGCCATCACGTGTTTGGCATAATCGTCTTGGTCATTTGTCATTTAGAAGGCTGGAAACTCTGAGGGATCAACTCAAATTTAAGAATGATAAATGCATTACACCTTGTTATATTTTCCCTTTAGCTAAGCAAAGAATGCTATCTTTTATATCAAACCATCACTTATCTGCCAATGCGTTTGATCTTATTCATTGTGATACTTGGGGTCCATACAATTCTCCAACACGTGATGGTCACAGATACTTTCTTACTCTCGTTGATGATAGTACCAGGTTTACTTGAGTTTATTTAATGAAGCAAAAATCAGATGTTCATCATATCTTCCCAGGTTTTTCAGCCTCATTGAGACACAGTCTAATAAAGTGATTAAAGCCTTCAGATCGGACAATGCCCTTGAATTACAATTCACGGTTTTTTTTTAGTTCAAAGGATGTTCTACATCAATTTTCCTGTGTTGAAAGACCTGAGCAGAATTCAGTAGTCGAAAGGAAGCACCAGCACTTACTCAATGTAGCTAGGGCACTATTTTTCCAGGCTCAAGTTCCTATATCTTTTTGGGGTGACTGTGTCATCACTGCAACCTTCCTGATAAATAGAACTCCTTCACCAATTTTACAACACAAGACACCATATACTTTACTCTACAAAGCCCCTGTTAATTACAGCTTTCTTAGGGTCTTTGGGAGATTGTGTTTTGCATCCACCCTGCCCTCTCATAGTTTAAACTTCAGCCTAGAGCAAAGGCTTATGTTTTTGTCGGCTATCATCCTGGTATCAAAGGATACAGGTTATACGATATTGAGTCAAAGGGGTTCTTTATCTCCATGGATGTGATCTTCCATGAACACATTTTTCCTTTTCACTCTATCACAAAATCTACTGATTTTATTGATCAATTTCCACATCTTGTTCTTCCTAATCGTCTTCTTGATAATGTTTGTAAATTATCAGATCCTCATGTCATTCATCCAGATTCAAATCAGTCTCTGACATCAGACAATTTTATCAATTCACCTTCTCAAAATCTTGTTTCCTATCCTACCTCTCCAAATCAACATATCATTTCAACTCTGCTACTGCTCCTTCTGATCCTCCTATCAGGAGGTCTCTTCGTTATAACAAACCTCCTTCATACTTAAAGGATTTCCATTGCAACCTTTTATCTCACCAATCAATCATTACTGATAATAACTCTTATCCTTGTCCCTTAAGTGATTACATCACTTATGACAGATTATCTTCTTCCCAAACTCACCTTCTCCTCAATATCTCATCCAACATTGAGCCTCAGTACTATCAGCAAGTTGTGCAACACACTCATTGGAGAGATGCCATGGCTACTGAGTTGACTACCATGGAACATAACAAAACCTAGTCCATCACTGCTTTGCCTAAAGGAAAGCATTCTATACGATGTAAATGAGTTTATAAAGTCAAGTATAACTCTGACGGGGCTGTTGATAAGTATAAAGCACGATTAGTGGCAAAGGGATACACTCAATAAGAGGGACTTGATTTCTTGGAAACTTATTCTCCAGTGGCAAAGTTAGTAACTGTGAAGCTTCTACTGGCTATTGCTGCTGTAAATCGATGGCATATTATTCAGTTGAACGTTAATAATGCATTTCTCCATGGTGATTTGTTTGAAGAAATATACATGAACTTACCATTGGGTTATAACCCTTCTATCCCATCTCACAGACAGGGGGAGCATCTAGTCTGTCGTTTGCACAAATCCATTTACGGGTTGAAACAGGCTTCACGACAGTGGTTCTCTAAGTTTTCTCAGGCTCTTTTGCTGCAAAGTTTTCAACAGTCAAAATTCGATTACTCATTATTCACTAAGGGTACTGGAACAAGTTTTGTTGCCCTCCTCGTGTATGTTGATGACATAGTCATCACTGGATCCAACTTAGAAGTCATCAATGATTTGAAATCTGTTTTAAACAAGCAATTTAAGCTCAAAGATCTGGGGAAGCTTAAATAATTTCTTGGCTTAGAGATTGCTAGATCCAGTCAAGGGATTGTCTTGTCTCAAAGACATTATGCACTTCAATTACTGGAAGATACGAGGTTCCTTGCCTGCAAGCCTACTACTCTTCCTATGGATCCCAAATTTCGTTTGAACTCCTTTGAACGGGAGTTACTGGAAGATACCTCTATGTACAGAAGATTAGTTGGGAGATTGCTCTATCTTACTATTTCTAGACCTGACATTACATTTGTGGTGCACAAACTCAGTCAATATGTTTATCAGCCTAGAAAGCCTCACTTGACAGCAGTTCATCACCTATTGCAATACATCAAAGCTACTCTACGCCAAGGTCTTCTGTTTTCTGTTGAATCTTCATTACAGTTGCGTGCCTTTGCTGATGCAGATTGGGGGTCATGTTTAGATTCCAGAAAATCAGTCACAGGTTTTTGCGTTTTTCTTGGAGATTCTATGGTGTCTTGGAAAGCTAAGAAACAAAGCACCGTGTCTAGATCATCTGCAAAAGTTAAGTATCGTGCATTAGCCTCTACTGCTAGTGAACTGATGTGGATTCATCAGTTGCTCATTGATCTACACATAAACTCCAAAGTTCCTGCCTTAATTTTCTATGATAACTAGGCAGCCGTTCATATTGCTACCAACCCCACTTTCCATGAAAGAACCAAACATATAGAGATAGATTGTCATTTTGTAAGGGATAAAATCAATGATGATTTCATCAAATTGCTACCATTTCGAACTAATCATCGGTTAGCTGATATTTTCACAAAGCCATTACCAGCATCAATTCTGTTACCTTTTCTATCCAAGATAGCTGTTATTGACTTGCATCATCCATCTTGAGGGGGAGTATCAGAGTCGATGGAAGCAGCAACTGGAAATAATTAGGCGCCAAAATTAGTTTAGATTGATGAGCTGTCATAACTATATTTCCCGCCTTTTACTTCCTTTTCATTCTATATTTATACTGTAAATTCACTTCATTTCAATCAGATGAAAGAGATATTTTTCTCCCCAATATTCTCTCTTATTCACAATACTACCCGCTTCTTCAAGCGGCCAGATTCTCGAGGCGTCCTCTGGCGCGATGTACTGAGAGAGAATGCTCGAAAGGAGTTCGAAGGGGCCCGGTTCGAGAAAGATCCGGAAATGGTTACTAGGCTGTTGATTGGAGGGCGAGATGCTATGCAGTCGGCTCTTGATAAGCTTGTCGAGAAGCAAAAGCAGCAAATTGAGAAGGAAAGAAATTAATCAAATCGTCGCTGACTTTTTTGGTAATAAATGAAATAAATTTCAATTTTTAAAAAAAAAATCATGAAAATCAAAGCATTGATTTTGATAAATTTTTTTGCCTCATTTTATCTGAAAATGGAGGTGCAGTCATATGTGCCAGAGGCAAAACTGAAAATTGATGGGTTTCTTTAAATGTGGTTCCAACCCTTTTGTCTAATTGTGGCGAAAGGAGAAAAAAATGAAGAACGAAACAGGAAGTTATTTGAAAATTTTCAGATTACATAATATGATTTACGTTATTGGATTTTTGTCAGGATTTTCATGAATTGTTCAAGTTCATCTGTGAACTAGTTATTAGGTAGTTCCTTATGTACACATACTCCTGATCGCATACACAAAGAATAGATTTTAGAATCAATTTTAGCTTCACTGTCTATTGGAGGAAGCCTAGTGGGAGTTATTTCTGCAAATGATGGAAGATAGTTGGTTAGTATACTGCTAGTCAATACTGAGTGCAGTGGCTTGTCAATGCTGGGTGAGAAGTGGCGACTTGAGGACTAAATTACAATGATCATCCGTATGCATCAAAGTGGAAAATCCTAAGTTGTCTGCAAAAGCTTATTTTTTTAATGAGATAGGGATAATAGATACTATAGAACTTGAGATGCTGGACTTTTTTGGGTTGAATTGCTGAAACCATAAATCATCCTCTGGATTTGGAGGGTATGCAAAAGCTGTGTTTCTCAAACTCCCCATTTTAACGAAGTGTCCATGTCGAACAAAAATGACAAGGATGAGGTTATGGCATCCTTCTCGAGTCTTTTATTTTGTTTTTTGTATTTCACATTTTTAGACTTGAACTGAGATTCGAAGTATCACATTTACAATTTAATTTGTTATAGATTTACAATTAAATGTGTAATATATATCCCTACAAAGCATCTAAATTTATCTGTATATAAATTTCTTAAGTAATTTTTAGTTTATAAGATGTATCCACATATCAATTTTAGATCCTTATTAGCCATATCTCCATATCCTATTTTTTAGAAAATACTTGTATCAGATACCCACACCCTAGTCCAAGCAACGTAGTGAAGAAGTGTAATACTTATGTGCCTTGGTACAGAATATTGAATAAGATGAAAACCTGACATTTTGTTAAGAAGATAAAACAGTTCCACTGACATTTTCCTCCAGATTGTCTGGTTGGCTCAGTTGCTATTGTTTCAATAAATTACTTCTTTAATTCTTGTTCCGGTAGACTTGCCATGCTAGATGATCAATTGCATAAGGAATTTTACGAAAAGCCACATACGTGTTTTGCTGAAGGTAACTTGATTTTTGAAACACGTTCATTTTGACCACACCTAACTGCAATGAAAAATGACTTCAAGTCTTGTTCTACAGTGGCTTGGCCTGTTAACGAGGGTGCCTCGGCTGGAATTGCAAATTAGTTGAGCTCGTAGGTACATGACCGAGAAAAGGGTTTCAAAATCTGATGGTCTTTTTCTCATAGGTGGAAAGAAAAGAAGGATAAATGTTTAATGAATAAGGTCCGGAGGCATATTAAAGACACTACTGCAAAAGAACTTTATAAGCAATCGGACTATTAGGGAACACTGGAGACAGAGGTGCTGTTTCTCTGTACATTAGCGAAGTTATGTTTTAATCCTATTTGGTGAAATTGTTTATAATAAACTGCCAGGTGACTGCAACCAGGAATATGTTTTCTAGTTTATTAATCTAATGTATTTCTTTATTGAGCGACATCGTCAAATATCAGCTTTGTGAACTGAGCTGATGGCCTCTGAAAGGTCATCAGAAGTCACTGGCATTGGTTGATGTTGAATATATGGATTTATTGAGATTTTTAGTTCCAGAAATACAGTTATGAGAATGTCCTAAATGTTATTTATATTTGGAACATATAGACTTGATGTGTGTAGATATTCTCGCTTCATTCTTATGATTGCTTGTTGGTTGAGATAAAAATTTGGAAGGTCAGATGTGGTCAATGTTAAAAGAATTCGAGCAATCAATCAAGTTTGTGCTGACCATATTTCAAATGATTTTAGTGTCGTCTGATGTGAGTTTGCACGATGTGCAAGATTATGTAGCACTCAAGCCTCTTTGGGGAGTTTCATGTTACCTCTCTTCTGCTCATTATTAGTTTGATGCATAATGAAAATCTTGATTGTGTTTACTACCTTGCATAATGCTTGGCATAAAAGTTAATTAGCTATGTTTATGCAGATTTTGGTTGTAGTTTCGTGAATTAAGAAATTTGATGGCAAACAAAAGTTTCTACATCCATTGAAATCGATCATCCGCCTCGGTGGACAGGATAAAAACTTCACATTGCTAACCATACTGCCCCAGTGGGCAGGAGATGGGGCTTGCTACATCCATGGTTGGAGGTAAAGAAGTTGCTCATGCAGTTGATCTTGCAAGAATGGTTCAAAATGGATGCCTAAAATTCTGAATCGAGCCTTCTATTGTAGGATACACATTGTCCATCAATACGCACTCTTCCCTTTCACTCAAACAAAAAGGGAAGGACTTATATTGTCACGTTGTTACAAATTTTCATTCAAAAGTTAAACACTCACTGGAGAGGAGTCGGAGAATTACTTGCATACTACCAGCCTGGTCAAGATATTGAAATGCCTTGCACAAATTTCTCTCGAGTCAAAGCCTATGCTCGGTTGCAGCAATGAATTCAATGTACTCTGCAGTCCAATGCTTGTAAACATCATCCTGGAAGCAGAAATAAACGTTATCTGTAACTTGTGGTTTCAAATTAGAAAGAACAATCTCGCGAAATTTTAACTTCATTCAAGATCACTGAGCATCTAATGATACCTCAAGCAAGAAAATACTTATGAGAAAGGATATAAATTGAGACTTAGAAATGTATCGAGTCTCTCACTCCAGTCACAAATTCGTATTACAGCATTCAGATAGCAAGATCATTGGCAATGTGCAAACTAGCGTGCACGACACCAGGTTTATGCACACAGAAACTCTGAATTTTGCCACAAATCACCAATTTGCAATATGACTTGAGGTTCTGCTTCCCTGGATAACCACATTGTGTGATGTAAAAATACAAACTCCTTTCTCAGAAGCGAAATACACGGGAGAAAACTTCAATTGAATTTCCAAGATGGACAAAAACGAGAAAAACTGGCCGGTGAATTTAAAATTATAACAGAAAGAAACAAAACATCAATAATTTAAAGCTAGGAAAGCTCAAATATACTGGGACAACTTACAAATCATTTGATACTTCGAAGCCAGATGATCTGGAGTCCTTGGTAACAAGCTCAACAGATAGAGTGGACTCTGTTTATCTGGCAAAGAAACCCCAAATGAATTTCTGGATGTACAGTAACTTGAAAAGGTTGGTGAAATTAAAATTTTAACAAAAAAGAAACAAATATCAACAAATTAAAACTATGAAAGCTCAAATATGTTTGGGATATCTTACAACTCATTTAAAGATTCAAAGAAAGATGTTCTGCGATCACACGTCCTTGATAACAAGCTCAACAGAGTCTCTGTTCATCAGGCGAAGAAGCTCCAAGTAAGAAGGGGTACTACAATCCAAGCACCAGATGTACGAGGTGCCCCTTAAATCACCAATAGTCCCCACAGGAGCATTCACCATCTTTGAAGTGGTGAAAGCGATTTGTGTCTCTGACATAAATTTCTCTCTTTTCAAATCTAGATATAAATTTTATAACAGCATGGCAGTCTCCACAAATTCTAAGATTCTTTATAACTCTGAGAGGAGACCCTTCGGGAGTGTTTAAAATTCCAAAAACTACGGCCAACTTCTCACTGTGCCCACATAAGATATGCTCTTTCTCTTGTTCCTCCACATCTTGCAGCACAAAATGGGTATGTGGCAAATAACCTGATTTCTTCATTTCCATGCTCAGTTCATTTAACTTGTTCATAATTTGGGCCATTTGAGGAAGTGATTTATCCCCTGCTAAAAGCATGTGCACCTTGTTTTTGACCTCAATCCAACTGCAGCCAGGGTTCTTCCTCAGCCCCATGCCTTTCATAATATTCCTAACTTTATCCATTTCATTCCACTTCCCTTTAGAAGCATAAATATTGGATAATAGAATGTAATTCCCGGGATTATGTGGTTCTAACTCAAATAATTTCTTGGCAGCAACCTCCCCCAAACTCATATTGTGGTGAACTCTACAAGAACTCAATAAAGCACCCCAGACACAAGCATCAGGCTCAAATGGCATATTCCTGATTATGGAATAAGCTTCTTCGAGCTTTCCAGCACGTCCAAGAAGGCTTACAATGCAAGCATAATGCTCCACTCTAGCTTCAATACCATAATCCCTAGACATGCTTGCAAAGTAACGATGCCCTTCATCTGTAAGGCCACTTTGGCTACATGCAGATAAGAGGCTAGTGAAACTAACAAGGTCAGGTTTCTGCCCACTCTGCTGCATCTGGTGAAAGATTTCAATGGCTTCCTTTGCCATTCCATGCATTGCATATCCACCCATCATTGCATTCCAAGAAACCACATTGCGCACAGGCATCCTATCAAAACAGCACCGAGCTATTTGAATCCGTCCACAATTGGCATACATATCAATCATTGCACTGCCCACATACACATCATTAGAAAACTCCCTTCTGAGAGAGAAGCAGTGTGCAGCCTTCCCATGTGTTAATGCTGCTACATTGCCACAAGCAGGTAGCACACAAGGAATGGTTACAGAATTTGGTTTGACCCCTGCCACCTGCATCGATCTGAAAAGCTCCAAAGCCTCAATATCTTTACCATGCTGTGAGCAACAAGCAATCATGGAAGTCCATGAAACAACATTCAGTTCCATCATCTGGCCCTGAAATTCTTTAAATAACTTCAATGCCTCATCAACGAGACCATTTCGTGAAAGCCCAGAAATCAACGCATTGCAAGCACCCAAGTCCACTAGATCCATTTCTTCAAACACTTGTGACATCTCTGGAGCACATTCGCACTTGCTGTACATATCAATAAGTGCGCTAACAATACACTTATCCACTCCAAACCCCATCTTGATCACATGCCCATGAACCTGAATGCCCATATTTAAATCCCTCAAGTCACCTATTGCAGGAAGGACACTAGAGATACCAGTGCCATCAGACTTAAAACCGCCTAAATGCATCCCATGAAACATGAAAACTGCATCCACAAAACAGCCACTCTGATTAAAACCCGCAATCATACCATTCCACGACACTGAATTAGGCTCAAACCCCAGTTTCTTCCCCTCCTCAAACACTTTTTTCGCACTAACCACATCCCCTTTTCTCGCATACCCAGCGGCCAACGCACTCCAAGAAACCATATCCCTCTCAACCATGTTATCAAACACTTTATGAGCATCAACCAGTTCATTACACTTCACATAAAAATGTATAAGAGATGACTCGACAAAAGAATCTAAAGTAAGTCCAGATGTCAAACCAAACCCATGAACTTGTTTCCCTATTTCAAGAACCGACAATCCAGAACAAGCCTTAATAACACTGGGCAAAATGTGGGCATCAGGGAAGAGCCCATTACAAAAAATTTCAGAAAACAATCTCAATGTCCGATTAAATTCGTTGAATTTCGTATAAGCATAAATAAGAGTACTGAAAGCGAAGAGATCGGGTCCTGAAAACGAATTGAGTAAACTTTGTGCGTCGGAAAAGCATTGGTGATTGGCGTAGAGTGAGAGGAGCTTAGTGGTGTGACGAGGGACATTGGAAATGCCTGTTTTGAGGAGATGGGCGTGGGCTTGATGCGCTTGGGAGAGTGATGCTGTGGTGGTTTTGTTCAATATATGCAATAGTTTTAGAGCTTGCCTCGGCACGGGCATGGCAGCTATTTTGCCTATGTAGTCAACTGTCTAACGTTTAGCAGTATTTATAGCGTTTGAATTTGAGAATGTTTCTTAGGAATTGGTCTGTAATTTTTTACCAAGGTTTACCTAAAAATCAGAGTTTTAATAAATTTTGGAAAAAGTGGATTACATATTTGATTTAAAATTTGATAAATTTCATAAAAGGGGTTGTAGAAAATGAGTTGGAGAGAAAATGGATATCAAATGGGGGGTTTTGTCACAAGCTCCTTATAGGTAAAGTACCGACAACACTTGTATGATTGCCTTTCCATTTTTATTTTTATTTTGGTGAACAATCAACCAAAAATTGCCAAAATCATTCACAAGTTGCTTGTAAAAAAAATTGTGAATGAGCCATGTACGTGCAGTATCTCTCTTCGTTATTACTGAAAAAAAATCATTCACAATTTCAAATTGGTAGTAAATAGCCACATGATTTTCATGAAACATAACTCGCTTCAAATTTCCATGGCCATTAACCTCTTTACAAGTTGAAAAGGCAAAATTTCATTTTCTAGAGTTGAACATGCAAGGGGATATAAGGGTCACATGATTTATCCGGAATATCGAATTTTCAATAATTTTCATGTGACTAACTACGAATATTAAAAAAAAAAAGTTAAAAATTAATTTGCTTGTTGTAGCTCTGTTTAATGGGGATTAAGATCAAATTTTTTTCTATAGATTTTCATAAATTTAAATGAAATGTATGGTTGAAAAATTGTGAGTCCAATGTAATGTGTAATTAAAATTAATTTATTGAGTAGAAAATATTGTTTGCATTATTGTGAAATAGTCTTCCAATCAAACTAATATTTTTTCCAAAAAATTTATTGGCGACCAAACTTTTAAAATGTGTTGTTTCAATCACCGAACTTACAAAGTTGTGTGAATTAAGTCATTGATCACATATTTGATAGTCGCCATAACACATTTGGCAATGGGTACGTTGGATAGAAAGATTTGAGGGAATAAATTGATGGGTTAAAGTAAAAGATAAAAAAACGTTTGAATGATTGTTCGTTAAATGTTTTTTATTAATGTTATATCACCATGATCACTAACCACATAAGCACCATCGTTTAATATCTCATCTCAACAAGTTTGTTCAATTTACTAACACATAAATGAAGAGTGACTTTAATTATGAAAGTTTAGTGGCCATCACCATTTCTTTCAAAAAATAAATAAATAAATAAAAGGAAAGTTTGGGTTGCCTCCCAATAAGCGCTTTTTTATAGTCTTTAGCTCGATTTTATGGCGGCTGATCACGGGCACCTAAAGAAGGCTTTTGATGCTTTGTCCATTTTTCTTCTTTTGGCTTTGATCCACTTTTCATTTGATCTCCACACCTCTTCCTTGCCCTTTTCAGTATAATAGGACTTGTCTATTCCATCCGACTCAACTTCAACTATGT